AAGGTAGCACCTTGGTTTGGTCCCACGGGCTCTGTCACAATCCCTAGTTGGGACAAACTAGGGAGAGACCTAGATTTTGCAGCAGAAAATGGCCTCCTAGAACCAGGAGTTAGACCTCTTTGGGCGATAGTGAGGAGTTGCCTCGCAGATGCTACATGCTACGATGGCTCAGGGAGCAATCCCACTCTGAAGTTTTCTTCACAAGAAACACATGGGTTATGTTAAGAGCAAGCTTGGGGATCGACTGGGGGCAATTTCTGACTTCACCTTTCCTCAGAATCCTAAAATCTCCTGTTACAGAGAAACACCTGTCCAGGCAGAAAGTGCCTGAAGCCAGCTGCTTGTCCTTCCCTGCTTAAGACTAAAGACTATTGAAATTCCACAGGAAAATCTGATTTCTTCTGAATTAACGCTTTAATCTTAGAAAGCTGCTGTGGGACTCGACAATAGCATGGAACCTGCAGTTTGTCCTTGCAGCTGAGTTGGAAATGAAGGTTCATTGCCTCAGTCACTGCAGCTGTTGCTAGAGTCACCTGTGGGAGCTCTTGTGACGTGTGGATGCTTGGAAGCTTTTTGTGGTTAGGATAGTGAATAAATCTCATCTGGTTGGATGGATGGTGGCCTAATTAGAGACAGATGAAAATTATTGTATGGTTTCTTTGGGTTTGTTAGGAGGGACAACCATATTTGTCTTAGAAAAGGGAATGAAGCATTCTTGTGGCAGGCTTATCCCCAGTCCGTGTTTTTCATAGCAGTGTTTCAGGGGTGAGGAGCAACGATTCCTTCACACCCTCCACCTACAAGTCTCAAAAGGTCTTCAATATCACAAAAACCCCAGACTGCCTGCAAGCTCCCTACCCTTTTCTGTTGTTTGAAGCCACCACAAATATGACTTTTCTAAATTGTTCCACCGCAACCTGTTATGTGTCACAATGTTGGGATAACAGTGCACTCTCAGCTGTCGTTATGCAGGTACCCCGGTTCATACCGATTCCAGTTATGGCGGACCCAGACGAGTTTCCTGTGATCCAGCTCATGAGCAATACTCTCCAATTGGATCCATAAAGCTTTCTCTTTCATAAAAGGAATGGGCAGGAATAGGGGCTCTGGCTACCATGGCTACACTTGCCGCATTCGGCAGTCTACTTCTGCTCTGTCGGATTCGCAGACAAAGGAATAGGGACAAAGTAATTATCAAACAAGCATTGCTGGCTGTAGAATCTGGTCAAAGCCCGGCAGCATGGCTCGCCATGCTGTGACGCAGGTGTGGAGCAAAGAATCGCAGGGGGCGCTGTCCTTGGCCAGGAGGTGCCCCGGTCCCCATGTCGGCGAGCATGCAGGTTGGGCTCATAAAATAGATTTCCTGCCCCCTCCAAAAGAGCACCAATGGGTAGTGAGGTACCGTCATGACTGTGCAGCATGACACCTCACGAGGGGCACCGACCCCTGGAGACCCTGCGTCAGTTATAAAGAAAGGGGGAGATGTCGGGTGCAGGCGCTCAACACACCCCGCCTGGGACGATAAGACCACATCAGCTTCCACAATGCGCTACGTCCCTCTTCAAACTAGCCATCCCGTGCACACCTCATGCTCACTCTGTACTCGCCCCGTGCCGACTCTGTGGCAACCCCTGATTGGCCACAGCTGGGTATATTAGCCAGAGCCTGCGTCACATTCCAGCCCTGCTTCCTTGTGGCAGCCCTCGTGGCAGCCTGTGATTGGTCACGGCCGAATATATAAACCAGAGCCCGCGTCAATAAAGCGGCAGTTACCTGTTACCAACAAGAGCGCCCTCTGTCTCATTGGGGGGCTGCACCGGTCACATAAGCACCTGCCTGGTAAGTGCAAAATTGTGAGTTCAATCTCCCATACCAAAACAATAAAACTTTGTGTGAGTTTTTGCTAAATCTAGCTTCCATAAAGAATTTAAGATTTATTTATGGTTCATCTGTTCTTATTGAGATACAAACCCACAGTTTCTAGTGTTGGAGACCACTATGAAATGGCTCTGAGCAGGATTTAAAATCAACTAATTGGCTTTCTGTGTTTATCTATGAGTCTGTCCTAGGCCTAGGCCCCTTGTCTGGAGTTGGGCAGCAGATTCATAGTAAGTGAAACTCTATGAATCACTAGTCCTGACCGAGACTGTAGTGGTCTGTGATGCCAGAGATGCCTCAAAGCACAAGATAAGACCACAGCTGATGACAGCTGATTGCACCCGCGATTAAGTAGGTAAAGACTGCAACTGCAGGTGTCTCATTCCTGCTGTCTCGCTCCTACCATGAATGTCATCATGAAGATAAAACAGTTCTAAGTTGGCATAATTTACCACTTGGAAAAGTCTTTGAAGTGACTACCAAGATCCTGCTCAGTTCCCATGCTTTCCTCAGTATCTTCTCTTTGTTTGAAAACCTAATAAATATGGGCCACCCAGAGAAGCTCTTTATCTCACGCTCCAGAGTCTCAAACTGATCTTGATCCTTCTAGAGCCTTAAAATCATGACTTGTCTCATTTATTTAAGCTTTCACTATACACTCATTTGGGAGGATTGGGGATCTTGGCCAGGGCCCTGATATTCTAGAATTGTTACTCTATGAGCACAGCTAAAAAAAAATGGACCACACTTTTCACCCAGAAGAGCTTGTACAAGAAAAGAGCTCACAGAAAACAAAGACATTTAATGGAACCACATCCTTCTCCTAGGCGACTTACCCTGGTGTGAACAGTGAAGAGTGGAAATGGCGAGGTCTTCTCACAGGTAGACTTCTCTCAGTCCACGGCAGTGAAGGAGAACTCCTGATTGTTGCAACTCCTCTCCAGGAAGACAGAAGTGGGATTTTAGTCATGTCAGGGAGCTATCCAGTTAATTAACCCAATAAAAGTGTTTTATCTTCACCAACACTGATCATTCCTGTGTATCCATCATGTTGCCTGACGATAAGACACTGGTAAAACCTGGGCAAAACTGTAAACTGGTTCAAGTTTATCTTGGTCATCCAAACACTCAGATTATTGACTTGGTTATGTCATGTTAACATTCTTTCTCTTACAGTGTTTATTCCCTCTCCTCTAAACCTATCATGCAAATATCTATTATACTAAAATACAAAGAATGGTAGCAACTTTAAAAATCATCCTTTGAGTGAAGTTCACATTTTCAAAATTATTGACACCTTGACATAAAGAATTTAATCTTTAATAAAATGTGAACAAATTGAGTTATTTATCTATGGTTAGGATACCTTTGCAAGACTTGTTATCCCTGGGCCTATATTTCCTGCAGGCCCACTCAGAAAATCCTAAAAGCTTTTACAAAATGCTCCCTATGATGTAATGTGTATGACGTAATATGCATTGTATGGGGAAGAAAAAGAACAGCTCAGCAAATGTTTAAAAATGTAATCTTGCTCTTTCTTTTTTTTCCCCTTCCATCCCATCTGTTCCTGAATAAATCCATTAGGTAGTGGAAATTAATTAATAAATTGGAGGTGTACTGAGGAACAGCAAGCAAAGGGGAGCTGTGTGGTTACAGGGGACAAAGTAAACCAGTACAGGACATCAGAGCCCCTGTAAAAAAGGGGAAGTCTGCACAGTGTGGGTGCAGGAGATGAGACGTGGTTATGTACAAAAAAATGGGCCAAATACATAAATATATTGAGGATGATGGAAAGCAGCTTGAAATGTGAGAAACAGGTGGAAAAAAAGTATCATGAATCTTGTGTTGGATTGAAACTGTAGATACAAATCTAAAATCACATATAGAGACATGAAGACATTTATACTTTGTATATATGTACTTGTATGTGTGTATATGTGTATACAATTGTGATTTCTGTTCCCTGAGGGTCTCAGAGTAGCAACACTCCCATAGCACTGTGCTTACCTAGTGCCTAGATGCTGGGTATGTCAATATTACCTTCCACTAAAGGAGACCAGGGCTTGTTAAAGAAATGGCTGATTTTAGGCCTGGGGAAGGAAATGCATCCAATGAGTTAGAACATTGCATGAGTGTTAGGAAACAAAAAAGTGTATCAACATGATACTGAAGCCAACTTAAAGGGTGCCCACTGGCTACACCAAGAAAAATACTTCAGCATCAGAAAAAGTAAAATAATGATAAGAACAGATTCTAAAGCCTAGTAAGAAAAATAGGAATCTCTAAGTCTATGGTGGAAATAAGTTAATAAATTGGAGGTTGCAGACCAAGGATATAGCTCAATGGCATCAGTGCCTGCTTGACAAGTGCAAGGTCATGAGTTTGATTCCCCCGTACAAAAAATAAATAAATAAATCAAAATAAATTAGGGTTTATTGAGGAACAGGATATTTACAAAGTCTTTTAAAAGAATTCCCCTACTCTAGTATTTGTTAATTACAAAAGAAAAAAGAGTCACTTTCCAATGAAGAAGCTTAGCAGGCAAACATTCTCATGAAGTGATGGAAGTAGACATTCTGTAATAAGTCAAATCAAATTAAAACTGGCTCCCCAATAGGACGCAATGAGAAGAAAACAGCATCGCTTCTGTGGTATTCCTGCCAACTAGACATAATTTGAATCTAAGCAAAAGAAAACACTGGAGCAATGCAAACTGAGAGACATTCTATAAAATAACTGGCCTACAATCTATAAAACTATGCAGATCATGAAAACCAAGTAGGTTGAGAACCAGTTCCTGACTGAAGGAAACATGAGAAGCAAATAAAGTATTCTCCAAGAGGCTGGGCAGTAATATTACAGCAATGTGAATCTCATGTTGGTTTTAGCTTTATTTGTAGTAATGCAGGAAAATGTATTTTTTTTCTAGCATATAAGAAACAAATAAATACTAAAGTGTGTGGTACGGTGAGGAACCCAGATGGCAAAATTTCTTTAAAACAATTCAGAAAATTAAAACTTTTTGTCATACTGTGTTTGCAATGTTTCTGAGTTTGATGTTATTTCCTGTAAAAAACTCTAGAAGTCTGATTCTGGGATTGCGTATACATAGCCCTGACACATTTGAAAGTTTTTCTCATTTTTTATTATGATTGAGTCAAATTTAAATTATAACACAAAATGTTTAACACATAAATCTAACGTGTTGTGGGAAACAAAACAGATGTATTTACAGCACTAATATTTTTAAAGGGAAGAATATGGCAATGCTAAAACACACTTCAACCTTTTGCCTGTATGAGATACATAAATTAGCAGACAAAATCATTGCTGGATAGACCTTTTCAGTCTACATGGTACAATCTATACCATAGAATTGATGGAACATTGCAGCAGATGCCACAAGTTGTAATGTGGTAAATCTCATAGAGAGTAGTATTCAAAATCCCATTCCACACCCTCTGAATCCAGCAAGTTACAGTCTCTTAGACTATAGAATCCTTTTCCTTACTAGGATACTTTACAAAGCATCTTTCTAAACTAAAGAAAGGTCTTCCCATTCAATACTGTGTTTTAAAATCATTAAAAACTTCTAGTTATACAAATTAGGTTTAATAAGCATTCCATTAAGAAAAAAATTACACGACATAACACATTTTACTTGTAAGGTTAATTTATAGTGCATTTGATCTCAAGCAGAGAGATAAATACCAAAGATAGAAAACACTCGTTAAATACTCAATTCATTAAACATTTGCTGCATGTTAATCTTAGTCAACGTGTCAGATCCAATCTTCAGAAGCTGGTAAGTATTGTACATGTGTACTGATACTTAGTAATTATATTAGAATGTTACGGAATAATTTTGATTATTAAATCTACATTCAAAGGAAGAAAGAATCAAAATCACAAAAGCCCAAGTAAACTTTCCTTGGAAGATGACAGATGTCTGGCATATGTTCAGGTCTTAAAAGGTTAGTGTAATATTCTGTGTCACCCCATAACAGAAAGGACAAAAGGAACACTGCCCAGTCCTCCTCCAAAAGCAAACAAAAAAATCCCAACAAATAACAGGTTAAAATTTATATCAAGTGCCACCTTGAGTACTTACAACACTGAGGGACATGTATAAAAAGGGAGATGTGCTTTGCCATACAAATGAGTTGAAGAACTTAGGGATCAATGTATATTTATATGACACTCACTATATATATGTTTTTCGCTCATTGACAGAAAAATGACCCACACAGCATTGCTCCTTGCTCTGTTATCAAAACACAGGAGAAAAGTAGGCAACCTTTCTTGTTATCATGTTCATGCATAGCTCTTCATACTTGTACTGTCTAAACCTATTAGTTTCAAAACACATTAATAGCACCAATTGGAAAACATTGCATCTTGTCAATTACCAGCCACTTCATTATCAACACTACTGAATGAATATGATATCAGGCACAATTTATTATGTGCATTACGTGCAAATAGTTATTTATATCCTGAGGAAACAGGTTGTCTTTGATCTGGTGAATAGACACAATGAGTAGCTATATCCCATGCCAACCCGGATTCTCACATTATGCACTTTACAAGCCTGTCTGGTGGCACAGACCTATAATTCCAGCACCCTGGGAGTCAGACACAGAAACACTCCACGTTCAAGCTCAGCCTGACCAATTTAGAGACAGTGAAACCAGCTCAAATAAAAACTTAGAAAGGGCTGAAGATGTAGCTCAGTGCAAAGGTCCTGGGTTCAAGACTCAATACCATAAAAAGAAATCACAAAATGAAAGTCAGCAACATAATAACAGCAAAAATTCACTTTAAAAGGAAATACCTACTTTTGATGAATAGTATCAAAATACTAAGAATCGCCTGTTTAGAAAAATCACAATCCTATATTCTGGAAATGAATTTTAAAAATTTCATTGAATATCAGTGAAAATATAACACATTCAGCCTACAGGAAGGTAGAATTTTTAGAACATTCTGAGATCTGTGAGGCCAGCTTTATTTTCACAAAGACTGAAGCAGATGTTTTTCATGTATTTTAATACACAAAAGACAACACTTGGTACTTGACTATTCATAAGTGCAAATCTGGAACAGATGAGCTAAATTAGTTTAATTAATGAGATCTAGTTTTCTTCATGGCACAGAAGCTGACAGTAAAATGGTACCATACATTAAAATTTCAGAGAAGTACTGTTACTAGGGAGTTTGTGTTTGCCATGTTGCTATCTTTCCAGTCATGTCAGGGTGGTCCCCTGTGACAACTGTTAATGAAATGAGGCTCTCACTTTGCGGCCCTTCAGAGGTTGAGGTGGGCGATGATTGCTCAATAGAAAAGCTGCTTCTTCTCCTTCTGATGTACACAGAAGGCTGCGGAATTTGGCCAGCTGTTGAAAGAAGAGCAGAATTAAATCAGCACAGAAAGACACACCAATGCTAATGAATCCCATAGAAAAATTAAGAAATATAGATCCTCTTTTAATACGAGTTATCAATATTGTCATGAAAATTGTCTAAGTTATACCTTTTACATCATAAAGAATTCTTCTGCTAATTCACATCACTGTACACTTGCTATTCCAAAATTAAATATATAAGCATTCTTTGTTCACAAAGCAAAGTCATAAGAGGAAGCAACATTGGGGCTGGGGATTTAGTCAGCGGCATAAGCGCCTGCCTTGCAAGCAGGCAGTTGTGGGTTCGATCTCTGGTACCCATAAAAAGGAAAAAGACAAAAAAAATAAATAAATAAAATAAAAAGAGGAAGCAACATTTAGAATGTGGCTTAAAGAACACACATCTAGAAATTAGAGAATTGCTTCACATGCGTACACACAGCACATACATACACACATACTGGACATGTTTTATTACAAAAATGACTGCAATTACACATGCTGTTTTAAACTGGATTTTTCCACTTATCATCATAGACATTGTTTCATGTCAATAAGCATAAACTTACACGACTTTTTGATTGCTGAAAAACTGTATTACAAATATGTTGTTCTATTTGACATTTATTTTAGCTTTTTGTTTTATTTCGATAAGGACAAATTAGTAAATTATTATGGGTGACAGTCTCCATCTTCTAAACTTTTTTGGTGACCTAATCTCAAAGTCAAGCAAATTTAGACTAAGACACATCAATTAGATTTCCATCATTATCATTTATCTGAGGCTCAAAATATTTCTTGTACAGTATTAATCAGAATAGAAAACAACAGGGGCTGAGTGATGACACATCTCTAACCCCAGCCTTTGGGAGGCTGGGATTCCAGACAAAAAGAGAGAGATGCTGAGGAGGGGAGAGGAGGAAGTCATAGCTTTATTTTACACACACACACACACACATACACACTTCAACTGCTCTAGATCATGGCACAGTATTATTAGCCTCAGCAGTATAGAACTGAATCTTACTTCAGATCACTTTCTGACCAGTTTGCTTATTTTGCTAAGTCTCTAAATCGGTCCTGGTCTGTTCATCCAGACTTCTTCCCTTGAAGACTTTCCCAATAGGCTCGATACTACCAACACTTACAGATCTGCTTCCTGCAACTCCCAAGTCCTCCCTGACTGTCCCTATCAGTCATATCTCCTCACATAAGCACAGGCTTGTTCAGGCAGAAAACTGTACACCTCTGTCACTCAGGCTGTTACAGCACCTACAGGCTCCTGGCAGGAGCATCCCAAGTTCAGTCTTGAGGCTGAGGTGGGTGGGACCAGTTTTGCTGGTTTCCTTGGCTCTGACACTGAAATTCTAATTCAATTGTGAAGCAACCCAGTAAGATGAAACATTTTTACAAAGGTTCTGAAATAATTTTATGCTCTTCTTGAGCTCTACCATATTAAATAGCATTGCACTGTCTGCTAACATTGAGTCATAACAAAAATAAGCTCTTTGACAGAATATGGTGCTCTAGGCACCATGCTACATATTTTTATTACATTCTAATTATGTCATTTAATCCTCAGAATTACTCTACCATTCATGCACTATTATCCCATTTGACACATGAGAATCTTGAGAGACAGCTAAGAAGTTTCACTGAGTTAAGTTGTCTGGCAAATAAGCCATGAACTAACTGCAAGAGGCAAGTTTCATTTCTATTTTCATATTTCTCCATTTCTCCTTAATTTCTTTTAATTGTAGAATACTGAAACAAGCATAAATAAAAATCAGCATAATAAACCACCACGAATGCATCACCCGGTTTCACCTTCAGTGGATTCCCATCCATTTTCTTATCCATTCTCACTGCCTCTTTTCCTGCCAAGTCCAGGTTACTTGGAAATGAATTCTGAGCATTAGGCATTTTAGCACAAACGTTTCAAAACGTATCTTTAAATACACAACATTTTTAACATTCTAGGCACCCCAAATAAATTTGTCAACATGGTTTTTGAATCTTAGACCACCAGACTCCAACTAGATCTACCTGTCACATTCACGTGCGAAGCCCGCTCTGGGCCAGATCTGTGCCCGTGTTTATTACAGTATGGTTCACAAGAAACAGGAAATCAGCCTTGGTGCCCATCAACAGAAGAATGGATAAAGCAAATATCAAAATAGAGCATTACTCAGCCATATAAAAGAACAAAAATTATGTTATCTGCAAGAAAATGGATAGCACTGAAGATCATGTTAAATCACTCAAAACGTCAGATACTCTATTTTTTTCTAATATGTATAATGAAAACTGTCATAAAAGCAGAATGAAGACTATTATACATAAGGGACTAAATGAAACAGGGCATAAGGGAGGCTGATGGGGGTATGACATGGTCAAAATACATTACATGCATTTATGAAAATGCCACAGTGAAATCCAGGATTTTGCAATATTCACATACACTCATAAACATAAAAAAGAAGAAAATTCTTGCAACTCATTGGAAAAATGACCCAATTTAAAAATGAGCAAATGACTTGAATACTTTATAAATAGAAATACACAAGGAATTTTTTTATAAGGAGAATAGAATTAAAGCCAAAAACTATGCATGTTGAATTTCAGCAGTTGAGTAAGTCAGTTTAGGTAACTTAGGATAACCCAAAGAGAACTGCCAGGAAAAGTCAGGCTTCCAAAGAAAATGGCAGACCTATTATTAAAACCATTATAAAACACTATGTGCTCACTGGTGTGGCAGTTAGATCAAGAGTTTAGTACTCACTGAGTGAGAAACTCACTGAGAGAAAAACAATGAATCTGGCTCAAGAAAAAGAAAATTTAAAAATCTAATATTCTCTTTAGGTCAAAGAGTCACTTGGCAAGAAACAGCAACAGAAAATCCTAGAGAAAAAAACAAAACCCTGGCACCATCCTATAAGAATTTATTCTTCATATCCAGTGGAATTTAGTGATAAAACTGGAAAATAAATAAAAATATTTCTCAATAGATGGCCTTAAACATGGGCTGTCAAAATTGAGATTAAATTATTTTTTGCAAAGTAACTCTTTAAATCCATGACATAAGATTTTCATTTCAATTTATGTAAGAGTTAACTTTACTAATTCTCATGTTTTTAAAATAAGGTTTTTATTTTAGAACAATTTTAGACTTGCAGAATTACTGCAGATATCACACATACTTCCCACATATCTCTCCTTTAGTTTCCTCTGTTATTCACATTTTACATTAGTATATTATATTTTCCATAATTAATGAACCAATATTAACATGTTACCACTGTCTGAACTCCTTTTATTCAGATTTTTTGTTGTTGTTTTTAACAAATATCTTTGTCTATTCCACAGTCTCAGTGCAGGAAACATTTTACTTACTAATCACATCTCCTTTGGCATTTCTCGATTATGACAGTTTCTTAGACTTATCTGGCTTTTGATGAACAATGACAGCTTTGAAGAGTCCTGATTAGAATGCTTTTTAATTGGGCTTTGATATTTTTCTCACAGTTAGTGAGATTGGCTTTTTAAACACTCTTTTGCTTTGCTTCATTTTTAACTCTTAAAATCATCATATTTTATTATAATCATTTTACCAAATTATTATTACCAAATAACTTTATTATTACCAAATAACTTTCTCAATGTGGTCAAACAATAAAATGTTTAAAAGAGTTCCTGCTCCAATAGATTTAAGTTAATAGTTTTAAAGTGAATTATTAATCCCACTAGAGCCCTAAAATGAAGTTTTGTTTTCTGTACTTCCGTGCATAAAAACTGCATTAGTGATATCCATTTAAAGAGCCTCAAATAAGACCCAGCAATAAATCCACAGACAGGTGATTGTAATTCCTAAACTTGCAGGGGGTTATCATTAATAAGGCTTACTTTCTTCTTTTTTAAAACTTAAATGATGCATTTTGACATAGTGTCTTCCAAATCACTGGACGATTAGATGAAAAATACAACAAAATAAATGATTTTCCAACTGGCTTTACGGAGTAAATATATCCTTGAAATAGCAAGGAAAATACTATCCTCTTATTACTAAGCAGTTTGATATAATTACTATTTATTAGTAAGCTGTTTAAATTTATAAAGGAGCATAAAAGTATACAGGTTAGCTTGTGAAGAAAGAGAGATAAACTCCATTGATAAGCCACAAAGCAAGCCATTTTCTTGTGATAAAACATGGAAAAAAAATCACAGGAAGTTTCATGTCAGTCTATCCAGATTTTCATAAAATGTTTTAAAAAGTGCACATCAATTTGAAATTTATCCATAATCCTAAAGAAAGGGTCAATGAAGAGAAACACCACATAAAGTTAACGTGTACACCCCAAGGAAATGTTGCCTGGAATGATCTTGGTAAAGGTGGACTGGTCTTGGTACGGTTGGGTTAGGATGATGGCACAAACAGCCAAGAAGGGGGGCCTGGAGCAGGAAGGAGCACTTTATTAGTTGCAAAAATTGTTAATTTATCTTACTGTTGAAATACTAAAGTATCTAATGCAAGAACAACAAAACCACAAATGAAATGCACTGAATCACAGCAAATAGAACACAGAGGTTAGTCACACCACTCAGAGTTCCAAGTACAGTTTCTGGGTGCTAAACATACCCTAAGTCTGGCAGACTATTTGGCCTACCGTCTGGCTCAATAAGCAATCAACAGAAAAAACGAAAGGCTGGGGATGCAGCTCATTGACCAAGGGCTTGACTGGCAAGTATAAGACCCTGGGTTTGGTCCCTACCACTGCAAACTGTTAACTAAAAAAATAATGATAATAATAACTTGAGTAAATAATTGAGTAAAAAATATGTTGAGTAACTTCACAAGAAGGGTACGGAGGAACCACGCCATAGCCTCTTACAAAATGCTTAAAAGCCCCTTAGGCTGTCCTACAACTTCTGCCAACCAAAGCCAAAAAACAGCTTGAAAGCAACATGACATCCACTGTCTTAATTTTTTTTTTATACAGGGAATCGAACTCAGGACTTCTTGCTTGTCAGGCAGGCACTGTGCCACTGAGCTATGTCTCCAGCCCCTATCTTGAATTTTTAAGGGCACACTACAATAGCTTCTAAAACTTAGCAGGCACACATATTTCTACACCTGTCACTGTTCTCAAAATTCAGTTCAAAATCTGTGGGAGAAGCAGTCTACGGACAGAGATCAGAAAGGAGAATGTCACCTTCTATGAATGACCTCTCTTCTGATTTTCCTGTTCATATCCCAGTCTGCTTATAGTTCAAACCAAACAAATGAAAACAAATGCAAATAATTCGAGCATTCAAAATGCTGTTTCACTCCCTTGGTTGTCTTTATGTCTTATGTCTAAGATATGAGAAAAAAATAATCTAATCAAGCAGAGATAATGGGTCAATAATCATAGAATGTTAAATAAGAAAGCACAGAAAATAATCTAATCTAACTACCTGGCTGATTGATGAAGGGAAAGTACACGCTTCATAACACCCCAGAAATCGCACAAGATTTTAAAAATGATTTGAGAGCTGAATGTGGTAACTAGGCCTGTAATCTCAGCCTGAACTACACAGCAAGACCCTGTCTCAAAACTACAAAAAATTTGAGAGTTGGGAGGGAAGCTCAGTGGTACAGCTCTTGTCTAATATGTGTGACGCCCTAGGTTTGATCCTCAAACCACACACACACACACACACACACACACACACACACACACACAGAGAGAGAGAGAGAGAGACAGAGAGAGAGAGACAGAGAGAGAGACAGAGAGAGAGAGAGAGACAGAGATTCTGTTCAGCTTTCCCTGCGTGAATCAAAATCAACCTGGACGATGAGGCATACCTGTTGAGAGCTGATATTTATAGGGTGTTTTAAAACAATCCACGTGACACTCTCAAGAAGAGGTGGAACTGTTAGAGAACCAGGATATGTCCAGTATTCCCAGGATGGGGGAAGAAGAGATAATGGGTCAAAATTTGTGAATCGAGTTTGTTTCCCCTGAGAAAACAAAGAAAATTCCCCCAAAATTATAATGGGATAGCATTACACAGAAAGAAAAATTACATCTAATGAAACTGTTTAATATCTTCTACCTTCATCTTAAAAATACAAAAATATCATATCACATGGATTTATTTAAGATGCACAAGGTTTGTTTTTAATATAGATGTTATTTAAAATGTGTTACAATTCATGGCTTATTCTCCAAAACTGAAATACTAGAAACTAATTTTGCATAAACAGATTTATTAGTGACTATCTTAGATAATGCAAAATCCTTCATAATTTTAACAGATAAAAGGTAATAAGTTACTTCTACATTTTTGGCCAAGTAGGTTACAAAGTTGCTTCAAAATAGGCAGCATGTGCTATATTTAAGGTTTAAGTCTTTATAGGAAGAGAAGAAAATTCAGGAAATGAAAAGAAAGACGTTGGTCATTAGCAAATAATAATTTATTTTACCTTTTCTTTAATGGAATCCAAGATGTCAGTAATCTTTTGCAGCTGGAGATTGTGTTCACCAGTCTAAAGACATGACATTTTAAAAGAAATAGTTATGATAGCAAATCAAGTCTATAAAATTAATAAAATTCTCCATTTCAATCATTGTTTTTAAATTATTAAAAAACCCAAACCAAGAAAACAGACAGATTGTTCAAGAACAAAGGTTCTCTTCAAACACAATAAATTACAGGATTCCTGTACTGAACCTTCAGTTCAGCTCCAAAACTGATAGTAGCTTAAAATTTTTTTCAGCTTTATGAATGTTCAAGACATGAGTTGACTAGAGAGAAACCTTTCTTAAGAAACTAACAAAATACCTCCAATATTAAGCAAGAGGTGACACTCAAATCCTGGATTCAAACTGATTCTGGTGGTATGGAAACTTGGTGCTATCAAGACCTTACATGAAAACATTTCTTACTTTCAGCCTAAAATGATTTGAAGTCTCAAATCAGAGGAATATACTTTCATGAGTATAAAAATATGAATTTTTATATATCTTTTCCTTATTGGGGTGTTCTGAACTACCTAAAGCTTTTATATTTTTCAGGATTAAAGTATACTCTCTGGCCCCATCTGGACCCTGCTGCCACCATGCAGACTTGGTGGCCAAAAGATAAGGATCTTTCACTGTTGGTGACACTCCCTGCCTCTGCCCCATGCCTTACCTCCAAGCCCCAGTTCCATGAATTACATCACACACAGAGAATGTGGCTGGGCAAAACTGCACACTCTACAAGATGTGGTAGCAGTGGGAGTTGAGAGGCCCAGCCTAACCTCAGGTGTGATGACAACACTTGTCTGTTCACATGTGAATATTAGACAAAGGGAAATAAAACAAAAACTTTTTTTATTTGGTCACTGTATTTGAACCAACACCCCATTCTGGTCAAACAAGTGCTTCAAGACCCATGAGCTTGAACTTTTCCCTGGACTCTGTGTCTAAATATTGAAATCAGGGATCAGAATGAGCCGAGAATAAACATTTTCTTCTCAGGCTCTCAGCTGTGATTTCTGTGCTATCTTCTAATCATTGTGAATGCTGTCACTGCTAGTCACATAAAAATTATCAATGGATAATTAAAAGAATCATAAGACAATGCTCCTAAAATAGTAATTTGTAGCATTCAGTTTAAGATAGAAACACTAAATCTAGAATTTGTTTACTGTTAAAACCAGTTGAATGTATCTGCCATGACTGAATCTCTTTATTCAACCTGGCTTATCATTTAAAAGGAGAGCAATTCTCACCTGTAAAAATATCCCCAGGACAGCCAGTCCATCCCGCTCGTGAGCTGCCTCAACAAAGCTGGGGTATTTGTCTGAATTCCAGTGCACAACATGGAGCTGAAACGGAGGTACATAACGTAATTCAAATTGTTTGTAAACATTCTGAAAAACATACATGCAAATAAAACATTCAGGAAGATGTTCTGATGCTATACACTCATATATATAATGTATTCCTCATGAAATTCCTGGAAATAATTCTGTTTAGTTTTATGTAAAAACTAAAGATCAAGCAGTAAAAGATTGGTCCCATAGCCAGTTAGTGAAGCACTAATTTAAAGACTATTTAGAATGCACTGGGCATTCTTCTCAGTTTCTCTAGCCCTAGCGCTCTCCACTGATGGGACTGCAGTGGAACAGCCTTAGACCAGATCCCAGATGCTAGCAGAGTCCACTGAGGAAACACAAGCTCCACAGGTGGGTGGTGAAGTCAAGCTCCTACAGAGTAGGCTTCCAGGCACAATCTTGCTGCCAAGGACAGTGTGATTGCTCCTGAAAATGTTCAACAAACTGTTTATCACTGCAGCTTAACACTTCTCATGGCTTGAAAATGCAGATTCTCCTTATGAAAAACTATAGTAAGAAATATATTATTAATAGATTATTTTAATGGCGAATGGTAACTGTACACACACAGGCACAATGTCATTGATGTTTTCATGCAGGTAGACAATGTACAACAATGAAACCAAGCTGACATATCCACCACCATAAGTAAGTCACTTACTTATTTTTTATTCATTTTCTGCCTTCTGTAAATGTGTTGAGATTGTTTGTTTGCTAAGAGTAAGTCGCAGTGGTGGAAGGGGCCCAGGAACCAGTCATGTCTGAGAGGGTGATGAGAGGCAGCTGCTGCTACTGGTGGGCAAAGAGTGAGAAAGAGCCGGAGTCCAGGGGACCTGGAACTCTAACAGACGTTTCACAACTCTGCTTGCATGCAAGTGGCCTCACGCAAGACCCAAAAGAGGCTTAAAAGTTCTACCATGTAAGCAATGCAGTATCACAAGCATACAGAGACCACAGAGAAACAATAAAGCAGAAAACCACTTTTGGAGATTCTTCAGTCTTAGTTAAGAGAACAAACCTGAGAGAGAAGCCAAAGGGCAATGTGACACACCTAAAAGGTTTGGCTCTGGTGGTAAATGCTGAAGGCCACCCATGCTGTCCAAGGACCCAATATCAGATACTGCCTTCAGATAAGAACGCCTGATAAGTTGTTTTGGTACTTCAGGAAGGAAACACTTACATGGGCCTTCATGCCCAACTGCCCTTTTACCTGACTGGTAGAGAGAAAATTTAGTATATAATAAATACTTTTATCCCCCTTTTTCAAATATAACTTTATATCTTACAGTTAATAAATATAAAAGGATTCCAGATAGATAAAAATTATCATAAGCAGCTGACAATTAAACAATAAAATATTGCACAATAAAGTTGCTGCAAGATAGCTGGGGAAGGAAATCAGCCTGAAAATCCTGGATGAAGAAATAGATCCATGTCTCTTGTGAGATGGTGACAGTCCACTGTCAGGGAAGGGCTGATCAGGGCACGAAAGTTGTTCCAAATGGTTCTATGCCAACAAATCGGCTCACTTAGTAAGTGACACCAAAGGGTCACAATAACAACTGATTAGAAAACTCACACGTTAAGTGAGAGAGATCTCCATCTCCTATATATCACCACCCTTCTACTGACTGAAAAGCAGCAAACCTTTGAAATACGGTGGCAAAACTTGAAAAAAAAATAGTAAAATCTTAATAAACCATAGTGGCAATAACAACAACAACAATAAAAGTCTTTCGCTCTCCCTTGCTTAGCTGGCAGTAATACCTTGGCAGAAGAACATGGCATTTTGTATTTTTATTAAAACTCAAACAAATAGCACATTCATATTCCCTGGCAACAATGACAGCAGCAGTGATTTGAGCTGAGCAAAGAGGGTATTGTAGCAAAAATGAACATAAACATTGGTCATATAGTGGTGAGCATAGCTGCCTTCTAAAAATGGACATTAAGATTCTATGGGAAGATAACTTCTAAATGAGAGTATTATTCAACATTATTGTTTATAACTGCATGTCAGTGACATGTGAAATACACTGTCAAATACGATGCCGAAGTTTTACCTTGACTAAAGAAATAACAGTATCACTGTTAACTGCATTAGTTAATGTCATTTTTACATGTCATTGTGTCAGCTTTCCTCTTGGCCTGAGATAAACAACGTATAAAGGGAACAGGCTTATTTGACTCACAAATTTTTAGTTTCCAATCCTTGGTTGCTTGGTCCTTTTGCTTTTGGGCCTGTGGTGAAGGAATACATCATGGAGGGAGCATGTGATGAGCAAAGCTGCCCAGAAAATCACCAGGAAACAAAAAAGGAAGAGGATGAGGCCAGTGTCCCTCTGTCCTCTTCAAGCACACACCCCAACGGCCACAGGACTTCCCACAAGGCCCTGCCCCTCAGTGGTTCCGCCAGCTCCCCACAGCACCACAGAGGACCAAGTACTTAATACATGCATCTTTCATTGACCTCCAAGACCCAAACCAAAGCAATTATGGGTAAATTGTAATCACGTAAAGTTCTAAACACAGAGTGGACTACTAGCCTAGGTTATGTAGATGCCTAATTCTTAGGATAACAGTTTTTATGCTTTAGACCATTTGATCACTCTCTTTGTAATGTCACAAGTCAATAGGCCCCAAAGTAAATTTTTATCTGATATAACCTTAAATTATTTTTTTCTTCCTTTCATTTCTCCTCCTCACAGTCCTCTTCCTCAGCCTCCTCCTTTTCCCCTTTATTTTTGGTCTGTTTGTTTTATAAGAAGACATAACTTGAGGATAGTCACAAACTTAAGTAATACTGGGTGCCTGAAAAAACTAATGCCTTGGGATCATTTTTTAGACCTACAACCCAAGGGATTCTTTGCTAGAAACAAAAGCACCTGACTCCCAAACACAACACTTGCAGCCTTGACCTCTACTTTAAACCCAGCTATGTATCCAATGGCTCACTTTAACATACAATGCCTAGAATACCAAATTGGCATCATGAACTTAACAAAACAGAGAGGTATGTCTTCTCTGCAACCTGATCCTCCCTGGATTCTCGCCTCTCAGTAAATGAAACAATTATCCCCCAGGTTGCCCAAGCCAAGTCCTTAGGAAAGAATGTTTTAGACTCTGCTCTTTGCTTCTTCTATACAGACATCCTTTTCTCCTGACCTCTCACAAATATAATCATCTGCCCAGTTCTCATCATCTCCACCACCTCACAGCCCAAATTACCACACTGCATATAACTGTTCCCATAACCCTCCAGGTTTCTCCTTGCTTCAATATTTGCCACACAACAGCTAGATATATTTTTATAAAATATAAAGCAAAACATGTTACTGTCCACTTTGAAAAGTTCCATTGTCTTCTCCTAACTGCATGAATGAATAAACTCCAAACTCCTCACCGTGCCCAACACTGGCGTGATGTAACCTCTACCTGCCTCCCTGGGACCTACCCCCTAACTTCGTCTTTCTCATTAATTACAATCCTACAGGCCAGTGCTGTTCTCTTTTTGAACATGCCAACCTTGTTCTTGTCTTAGAGCACCTGCCCTTGCTGCTCTCATTTTCTGAAAGCTCTCTCTGGATTTCTTCATATTGCTTCCTTGTCTTTCAGTCTCAAGTCACGTATTTTTTCCAAGAGGCTTTCCAAGTCCTCAGCCACTCTAGCAGGACATGTGGTATTATTTCTAACAAAGAATTTACCACATATCACATATTTGTTTATGTGTTTTGTTTATTGTCTGCCTCTGCCATCCAGCAGCCCTGAGGTCTAATCCAGATTTCCTTTTTCTATATCCACAGTTCCTACCTCCAACCCAAAATATGCTCTACCTCCCTCTCACCTTCAATCAATCAACAAATCGCACTAGAGCTACCACTGCCAGACCTCTAGCCTTTCACCTGCACTATCATGTGTTAGCTGTAATTTATCCTAAAGCCTTCCCCTTAGCCACTCCTGCTTCAATCCTAGACACAGCCAGAATTTGAATGACATATATGTGAAGTTCAAAAATGATCAATTTCCAACTCAGCCAGTCAGTGGCTTCCCACTGCACTTAGAATAAAATTAGTAGCCCTTACAATGGCTGAACTCACTGAGCTCACGTTCACCCCACCGCTCCAGCTCTCTTATCTCTGCCTTCACTCTCCATATTCTGGCCACATAAGCCATTATGTTCTTCAAATATTCACTACTCCTCCACCCCCAGTTCTCAAAATGGCAGTCTGTAGGACCACTGCTGTTTCTCCCCTTTGCCTGGCTCACTCCTGTCCATGCTTTAGGTCTCAAGTTGAAAGCCTTCATCCATGGGGAAGCATTCTCTGACCCAGGTCTGGGTTGGGCTCCATGGCTAAGAAGTTTGTGGCATCCTGCCTTCCTTCCCCTACTGTCTGCAGGATAAGCACAAACAAGCTGTGTAAAGATGAGGGACATGGCTGGATCTCCATGAATTCTTGGAGTGAATGAGGGAATGAATATATAAGCCACTAAAATAAGAAACCACCTTAAAGACATATATTAGTAGTATGAAATTCCAGCCAAAATTTTATACGCAAAACTTTACCTGCAAAGGTGATCCCTGATCTGTAGTTCAGGACTTTTAGCATCTCAGAAATTTTAGGATGTGAAGCCCTTTTCAGAAAACTACTTGTCAGCTGAGTGTGGTGGCACAGGCCTGTAAACCTAGCACTCAGGAGGTTGAAGCAAGAGGATTGTTGCAAGTTCTAGATGACTTTGGGCTACAAAGTGAGTTCAAGGCCAGCCTGAACTGCATCATGAGATCCTCCTCAAAAAGCAAAAAAGGAAAAAAGAAAACTACTTGTCAACTGGCAGATAATCTAACAGTCCGCTTTTAAGTTTATGAAGGTAGTAAATAAAACCATAAAGCCACGGTATAAATTTCCCTGTGTTGTGAAAGAATATTGGAAACCAGTGATCCAAAGCAGTCAGCTCTTACTCTCCATGGAGCTTCTGAGATTTAAAACATTTAAATTTAGAATGCAAAACTTTAGAAAGAAAACCTGGAAACTACCCAACAGATGACATAACTGAAGCACCATACACATTCAGGAGTTTCACTTCCTGCCTTCTTGGCATCTTTTGTCTACCACCATAGAACAACTGTGCATACCCATTTCAGCCTCTGCCTCAAGCCAGGGTAGGTCCTATACTCTAAGGTACACTTGGCCTCAGACAAAAGGGATTTAATTGGCAAAATGGAAATTTTAGAAAGACAGCTTCAAAGGGCAAGTATACATGTTAATGGATAAAGGAACCAGGAAAAAGCTCTGTTTGCTGAATTCCACTGCATGAGAAAATAAAATCCATGCTCACCTGGGAACACTGCTCTGTCTTGCCTAAATGCCTCACAAGCTAAATTCACTTTGCTTCAACAGTTTTGGTTGAGTCATGCAGTAATTGACTTTAATTTCACGGTAGGTTGACTATTAGCAATATTTAACCATATTAAAATTTGAGGCATACTATGCTTTATCCTTTCACCAGAGGATTAAAAAAAGTAGAGTATTACTAATGAATATAATTATCCTTCCAAACAAAAGAGTGAGTTGCCAGTCAAAATGAAACATGTCAATGTGTGCTTTGTTTCATGTTATGCTTTACCAGAGATATGAATAATTAACAGAGATTTCATTTCACATCTTTAAATATAAAGGTACTGAAGGGTTTAGGAAAGTTTAAGACTTTGTATTTTTTTCTAGTAGAAGTTTGCCATTTGTTACCATTTATTTCATATGGGTCTTAAAGATTTATGGACACTGTCTGGATCAAATACGTATACAGTTCGATCTAAGACAAGTATTTATTTCTCTCTCTTCTCACTGGCCTTTCAGCAGATGAAACAGGTAAAATCAGAATTTCTAATTTGATGCCAGACAGTCCTAGGTTTATTGCTTCCTACCCAAATAGATTACTTAATTGTTTCAAGTCTCCAGTTTACTCATTTCGATAATGGGAATACATAACCGGCAACATTTGGGGTTGGTTTAAGGCTCAGCAGGGCCATATTTGAAGCTCTCATATCAATAACTATGATAATGAATACAACTCTCCCAGATATGGAAATAATTACTTGGCTCAGAATCAACCTGAGGTCAAGACAACTCTTCTATGTCCCTTAAATCCCACCACTTAAGAAAACCCTGAGTCACCAAGTAGCATTTGGTGGCTTACCTCTGCAGCGTACCTCACTCCATCGACCATGTGCTCAGAACCGTGGTCATCAGCCGACCCCCAGTGAAGGTGAAACTGTCGTAACCGGTAGCTTCCAGTGAGAGGACCTCCACGCAGAACTAAACACCAGCACATGTTCAGTGGTTAACAAGAAAAAATTATACATCCTGTCATTCCCCATAACATCCCCTTTTATTACTCAATTCATTCATGTCCTGCGAGGCAGGTTTACAAATATGTTACTTAATTTTCTGGCAGGAATATAATTTTAAGTATAGGAGAAGTAGATATGAAATACTTCTAGGGTTTAGAGGGTCTGTAATGCAGATTTTTATGAAAACTTACAAGTAGAAGAGACTAAGAATTCTGAAGGATAAAAAAAAATTTTCTGTTTAAGTGAGGGTGGTAACACAGCCTTTCTGAATAAGGACAAGCCATGTTGAGAGGCCTGAGTGGACCTTGGTAGAGCAGGCCACTGCTTTGTGCCTAGGGCACAGGTATCAGCAATTAGAAGACCAGGGCTTAGTCAGGTGTGGTGGTGCATACATAATTCCAGCATTCTGAGAGGCTGGGGTAGGAGGATTACAAGTTCAACCTCAGCCTGGAAAATTCAGAGATATAGTGAGATCTTATCTTAATGGGGATACAGCTAAGTCCAAAGGCCCTAGGTTCAATCCCCAGCACCACCAAAAAAAAGAAAAAGAAAGGAAGGAAGGAAGGAAGGAAGGAAGGAAGGAAGGAAGGAAGGAAGGAAAAAGAAAGAAAGAAAGAAAGAAAGAAAGAAAGAAAGAAAGAAAGAAAGAAAGAAAGAGAGAGAGAAAGAAAGAAAGAGAGAAAGAAAGAAAGAAAGAAAGAGAAAGAAAGAAAGAAAGAAAAAGAAAGAAAGAAAGAAAGAAAGAAAGAAAGAAAGAAAGAAAGAAAGAAAGACAGGAGCTCATATTCTCTATTAATAACTTGGAAAAAATCTACTTTCTAAACTTCAGCTTTCATGTCTAAAAATTGGAGCTAGTAGTGGTTCTGTCTAGCATTGTCATGAAAATGAAGAAAAATTAAACCACATATATATACAGTCTCAAAATTTGTCAAGAATGAGACACCTTATGTAAGAAGAATTTGGATACAGATTTCCTTTATACATAAAAGGGGCTATTTTCAAAGCACTCTGAAAAGTAAAGAGAAAAACTCACTCAGATCAGATCCAAGGACTTACTCTTAAGTTACTCTGCTAAAAACAGAATAATTTCACTATATCTTTTCCCATAGGGCAATGTTCACGAGGGTAGAGTTGGCTTTCCCACTATTGCCACCAATTAACACAGTATATATTACAGAAGATGAACAAATGAATGAAATACTTGTTTTTAAACAGTTGCAAGATGATTGTCAGATAAGTTAATTTAAAAGGCATGCCCATAATCTGTATATATTGTATCATCTGTATTGATTGAGAATGGAATGAAATTCCAAAGGAAATCAACAGTTCATTATTTTTTTCCTTGCTATTACATAATAAAATCTGAGTGGAATGATAAAGTTGTCCTCCTTGGATGAAGAGACAGATTAAAAAGCTTGAGAAATCAATGCAAAATTGACTTTGGGAGAAAGAAAAAAAATACAAAAAACACACACTATTAGGGAGATATCCAAGAATAATGGTTGATCTCTGGAAAGCCTGCTCGGAGCCCAGAGTTTTAAGTCAGATTAGCACATGTGTTCTGCATAGTTAAGCAACAGATGGCTTACATGTTACATACATAGACTTCACATTTAAGGGTTTCAAATAAAATGACCCTTTTGAGATTATAATCATGATCAATTGTAAAGTTGCTCATTCACTGGGAGTGGTGCTCCTCCAAAGAAACACATGGTGGGGAAAAGTGAATTAGTATATCAAAGTGTAACACTGACTTTGAGACGGCCTATAACAGAACAACTAAACTACCATACAAAGTAAACTATGACAAGAAAAATTATTTTTAATGAAAATGATTTCATGTTTTCAAATATCAAATTAACCTACTTTCAACCTAGTTAATAAGTACTACTGTTTCCATTTTATGCTTACACATAAATGATATTTCTCCAAAGTCACACTTGGAATATACGATCCATTTACTCTCTCATTTACAATGTCTTTTTTTTTGTCTTTTTCCTTTTTATCAGTACCGGGGATCGAACTCAACTGCCTGCTTGCAAGGCAGGTGCTTATGCCGCTGAGCTAAATCCCCAGCTACAATGTCTTTAAAAAGTCTTATTAAAAAATGACAACTTTTGTGTAAGAGTTCTACAGAGCTTAAGAAAGTAACAGTTAAATGTCATAAAAATCCAGACACAGCTATTATTGACAGGGAGACTTTAGCTCAGTGGAAAGACAAGTGAACCCTGCCCGGCAGTTATAAAACAAGGAAAGTTATATGACAGGACAAGGCTAAGATCCCTTGGGGACCACAGCAGGGGTGACACAATCAATCAGGCCATGTTCCCACAGATATGACATCCTGAACCCAGAAACACCAGTAGCTGGGGCACAAACTGCCTTGTCTTTCTACATCGCATTATGATTTCCCTGATCAGACTATTTCCTATACAGTGTTCAGTAAAGGGTGTCCTGTATCTTCCTAAAGAATTTCATATCCATCTACTCCCTTTCATAGGACTATCAGAGTTCTGAAGGTGGTTACCTTTTGATTAACCATCCAATGTGTACCTACCAAGACATGCAAACACTAGAAGGAATAGGAGAAAGATTCACTGTGGTGTGCTGACAGGCAGATCCCGAATTACTTCTTATCAAGAACAGGGAGACAGAGAACCAGCACTCCGGAGATCTAGCCATGGTAGACAGCTTATTCTTCTGCCCTCTTGGTAAGCACCCCCTGGCATGGGCCAGGCAGAGAACCAATGACTCCTGTGAGCTTACCAGCACATGGGCTGAAAATCAAACACCCTTCCTCTTCCTGCTCCCCACCAGCTACTGGGGATACATGTCTCAGCATCTCTTGGGAGGATGACCATATCCAGTATAGCAAATATGGGGGATTTCCTTCTATCTTCTGTTTGAAGGCAAAGGCTGTTTTCACTGTTTTGTTTTGTTATGTTTCTTTTGCTCTATTCAATACTCTCAGTTGGTTTTATAATGTTCTGATTTTGGTTTGATTTTGCTATACCTAATTGACTGGACAACTATTGTGAAGTTAAGGAGATATACCATAGTACCTATTACTAGCATTCCAGTATCCTACTGTGAAATCCTGTACCAATTTCACTGCATTGTCTCGATTGGCTTTGTTCTGTCTTGTGCTGTTGCATTTTTACTACTTTCAAAATAAAATTAAAAAAGAAAGAACAGGAGGATAGACTTTGAAATGATGGGAAGGACTTCTGGGAATGGGGGAAGATGGGACGAAGGATAGGGGAAGGTAAAGTAAAAGAGTTCAAGGTGTGATATACAAATGTACTAATACCCCAGAGCAAACACACAGTATTTGTTACGTATCACAGACAAAATATATACTAATGAAAATTTTTTTTAAAAAAAGAATGGCTTCTTTACAAAATAGAAACTGTTCTATTCAAATTAGTTTGCTGCAAGATGTATCTTTGTGCTTTTCATAGTTTACCAACAAAAAAAATTGGCATCAATTTAACAATGGTGGTTTATTTCTTTTTGATTGATTTACTCCCTAAAATCATCATGAGTCTTTTTTGCTTCATCCTGAGAAAAATAATGATCATCATGACATATATTTATACAGCTTCTGTATGTACTCTATGCATATTTTCAATTAATCATGGTAATCTCATTATCTAGATAGGAATGAAATCTTCATGTAAACAAAAAGGCACATACTAATGATCACAAACTAAATGTCAAGTCTGGAAACACAAGTAAAATTATTTCACTGATCAGCCCAACACAGAGTGAAAATGAGAAGGAGGAACCAAAGAGGACGAGAGAGAAAGAGAAAGATAGGCAGAGTATCTGGATCATCACAGATCAAATTAGACTGAATTTTTTCCACTATAAATGCCTACATTTATAAAGAAACAATTTAAAGTTTTAGACAAAGGAAAATCTAATCATTTCTTACTCTAAAATGAGAAATGTGTAGCGTCAGGTTTTTAATGTTTGAGATATTATACACAGGATGAAGTGGTAATTGCAAGTAGTATAAACTTTGTACTTAGAAGTTTTGGACTGCTTTTTCAAAGTACCTATGACATCAACTACCTCTAAATACATGGAGGAAATACAATTGATTTCATTTTCTCATAATGCTCTAATAAAGTGTATCACTCATGAATTTGACAAACATGACAAAAGAATTTGTCTAGGTTTATAATTTTTGCTAACAACAGTTTTATATATGGAATATTTTGAGCTTAATGAGTATACAACAACTTTCTTCCAGTGAAGAATTTTTAAAAATTTAACTACATATTTTCATACATGGAGCAAATATCTAATATTTTTATCTAATATTAGATAAAAGCAAAATAATTTGTCAGAGCCTTAAAAAAGTTTCCAAACTATGACTCAGTGCAATCTCTTCTTATCTTATTCTGAAACATGCTACCCTGGGCAGTATCTAATCCTGAGTATGCTTAAATAAAGTACGCTTAAATGTTTTTTTTAAGAAAATTTGTTGTCTTCTTCAAATTAGTTAAGAAATTAACAAGTGGGCCATTGTGACTTGTCACAGTAGCCCACTCTGTGTCCTTGATTTTGGCTTTTATACTTTCCTTTCTTTGTTTAGCCCAAGTTTACTCTACAGAGCCAGTTGCCTTCACCCCTCACTTTTGGCACCATTAAAACATTAAAGTTTTATTTGATGAGTTCATTATCTATTTGCATTATTTATTCACACTGTCCCATGAAAACATCAAACAGAGTTTTTATTACAAATCAAATTAATAAAGATAGATGTTTCAAATGTTTTTAAAGAAATTAAGCATGCACTGTTCCTTCTTCTTAAATGTCTGTTGTTAGGAGAATGTTGTGTAAGTTACAGTATAAGAGTAGCTGATGGGGGGGCTGGGGATTTAGCTCAGTGGCATAAGCGCCTGCCTTGCAAGCAAGCAGTCGTGAGTTCGATTCCTGGTACTGATAAAAAGGAAACGCGCACACACACACACACAAAAAAAAAAAAAAAAAAAAAAAAAAACCTGGAAGAGTAGCTGATACAATTTATCTTTATTTAAAAAGATATATTTTTTTTTCCTGGAAGATGTCCACTTACATATTTTCAAATAGGAAAAATACTTTCAGAATAATAAAGTATTAGTTCAAATTTATTTTTAAAAATAAAACTTGAGACAACATGATATACATGTGAGTACCCATGGCTAAACATTTAAATATTATGGAGGAATATGGCATTGGAGACAGTATAGGAGAAGACAATTTTTTTCATATATTTCTGTGGTTTTTTTACTGTAAGTATATATTACCTTTGCACTTAAAATAAACGATTACATTTTACAAAAAACAAATATTTTTCTGCTGAACCACACAGTAGCGAGCATCAAGGTTTGCAAATAAATATTAAAATAATTATGACTAAAAAATTTCCAAAACCAAATTAAGAATTACTATTAAACTTCAATATTTTCATAGAGGTAAATGCTAAGTGAAGTCATAGTAAGCTAAAATCAATTTTAAAATCTATTCAGCACACCCTTTTATAACTACTTCCTTATACTAAAGTAACCTATTTTAAGTTCCAAGTATATAACTGGACATCCCAATTTACATAAAGAAAACAAGTATTTCAACTCAGCAAATTTCAACTCTAGCCTCAATAAATTATGAAAGATTGAAGAATAAAGTTTTATCAACCAAATTCTTCAGGCCCCCTCCAAATTAAAAAAGAACAAAAGAAAGATATGCCAACCTGATTTGTCCTCTGTGTCATCAAAGTCAACACTGAAGGAATGGCCACTATTGCTGATGATTTTAGCTGAGCTCGGGTCATACTTGATACTAAGTGGTCGGAGTGAAGAGTCGTATTTCACTTCTTTGGTTTTAATCTCAATGGGAGATTGCTGATCACCATCAGCAACAGGGAAAAATTTATTCCAATGAACAGGACCTTGAAAGCGTAAGACCAAGAGAAAAAGACCAAGTTATTTCATCCAACAAAAACTTAGTAAGTGCACTGCATGGTGTCTCAGATTGAAGAAAAAAAGCAAAGATTAACAAAATAAAATACTTATTCTCAAGACCTTCATATCTACTTTTTTTTTAAACAAGCCTAGTTTTTTTTTTTTTTCTTTTATGGGTATAGTAATTAACTGTTTTGTCTTAAATCATTTGCACACAAATCCAAACTAATCCATGAAGACAAAAGTGCACACAAATTGACATAAAGTGCTTTCCAGAGGTACTCATTTACCAAACTAAAAACAACAGCACAATTCATCATGGAAAACAAAGGCATTCAGTCTCAGATCCAGAAATGTGCTCTGGTGGCCCTAGAGGTCAAGCTGACAGGGTTAGGAGAGTCAAAGGGGCTAAGAAAGCTAAGTATCAGAGAAAGAAAGGGCGTCAGGCTGAAGATGTTGTACTCTATATTTCTTTCTTCTTTATTCTACTGCAATTTTCTGGTGTCCCTCAGGCCTCTACTCCATTACTGGTGATGTGCAGCTGGCATTGCTAAGAATATATATATAATCTGTCATATAGAATAATCCTGACAAAATGGGTTACATATCTTGCCATGTCAAGATATGTAGCAATGTTAGTTACCTGCAATGGAATTGGTTGCAATACTGTCTTAGTTACTTTTTACTCGTCGCTGAGACAAAATACCTGATTGCCCAAGTTGAGAAAGGAAAGGTTTATTTCTTACAGTTTTTGGAGGTTTCAGTCCACACTCAGTTGGCTCCAAGACAGGTGGGCATGGCTGGACCGCCGTTCATGGCAGCCACTGACTTCAAGCTGGAACCAGCAAAGAGCAAGACACACCTTCTTCCTGCCATTACATCACATCCTGGCTCCACCCCTAAGTGGGTGTAGCACTAACATCATCAATCCAAGCACTATACAATAAACTATCACAAATAAACAATGCAAACTCTTGAGTCCTGGGGGACACAGACATAAACCATGACAAATATATTGCTCTCTTTCTGCATTTCACAAGGTCCTTCAGGGATTACTTTACCAGTGTGACATTTGGATTCCAATGCAAGGGACAACTAGCATCTTATCCTCTGTTCAGGGCAAAACTGCATGAAATTCACAAACCAGCGTTCCTTAGGCAAACTGAAATAAGACAATACACTATCGTTCCCTCCCCATCCTCTTCATTTCTTTGAGAGATTATATTCAAGTTCTGCCTCTCAAAATCAACAACAAGGTACCTTCATGGAAACTCCAAATCTTTCTAAAGATGTGAGACTCCTAAATTCTCTCTGCTATGCCTACAATTTACAGGGCTATCACCAGTGAGTAGTGCATAAGGCGGCTGACTAAGCTTTTCCCTACTTGGAAAACCACTTTTTCTAAGTCAAGTATTAATTAAAACAGCAGAGCCGGATAACCGTCAAACATTTGCTACTAACGAAAACAAGTATATCACCTCTAAAATGCTGCGTTTTAACTCTTCACTCTTGAAAAGGAAACAGCGTGCATTGTTTCACATATGCTGAGTAACAAAAAGTCACAGCATGAACACATAACCATGCGTTCAATTTTAACAGCCGTGCACTTGTGAACCTGACATTCTGGATTTCAAAGAAACTGGAGTATTCAAAAGTCCCTGGAAAATATTGCAGAAAAAACACTGTTTCCTTATTTTTGCTTTCATTTACCTTTTGGAGTACTCTTTCTGCACACAACCTGGAGCTGTCTATTTCATAGTCACCAAGCATGAGTTAGCCTAATCAGAATCAGATTTCAAACATGCAAAGCATGTGTAACATGTTGATGACTTTTTTGCAATCACCAAAGAGCTTTTTTTCTAATGCTTTTTCTACCAAACACCTTCTTTCCTAATGCCTTGGAAAGGAGTTTTTCTAGTCCTTCACAAAGTAAAATAAAACAAAATTACTTTGCATCAAATCCTCAATATTATCTATTAGCCATTATAAGAGTTTCATTTCCCTACCTCTTAGAGGTTCCCCTCTTTTGGAAATTTCCCAAAACAAGCTTAAAATCCATTTACCTAGTTCTTAAGAAGAGGTGATTCCCTGTGTTTTTCAGAAACTTTTGAACATCCACAGTGATGAATATATATATATATTATATATATATATATATATATATATATATATATATATATATAATAGTCACATTGCTTAATCCAAATCAATACAAACATCAAAGGTTAGTGGAAGAATTCCAAGCTGTGTGTGAAGATGCTAGCCTTCCAGGGCTTCACCTCTTAAAGCTCCTTCTGATCAGTGCTGAGAGAGCCTGTCTAAGCTTCCTTTAATCTGCTCAGGTACCGGTTTGCATAATGTCTAAAGAGACAAAAAGCAACAAAGCTTGCCTCATCAGGATGCAACACATTTCCAATAAGATATTGCCAACATTAATCCACTTAGAGGTGTGATCCTGAGAAAACTACTGAATCTAAAAGGAAGGAATGGCCTACCTGAAAGGAAGCTAAAATAATACCTAGCAGAAATAAAAAATCATTTCTTGCTGATGCCTTTTTTGAGATGTTTTCAAAATTTCTGAAGGTGACCTTCATTGCAGCCAATACTTTCTAACCTATTAAAGTGCAATCAATACCCACTGATTTTAATAATCTTTTTCTTAAATACAGTGAGGATACTATTACTAATACTTAGATAGAATAAGAAAAATTAGTCCAAGCCAGGTTCAGTAGCACATACTGTAAATACAGTGCTGGGGAGGTTGAGGCAGGATGATCACAAGTTCAATGTCAGTTTAAGAATCTTAGTGAGACCATGTCTTAAAAAAAAAAAAAAAAGAGGCTAGGGAAGTAGGTCAGAGGTTAAAGCAACCCTGGGTCTGATCCACAGTACCATAAAAACAAACAAACAAATGATTCCAACAGAGAAAAAAATGAAAGTTGTTAAGTTTGTAAATTAGAAATTATCAAAATGTAAGATTAAAATCACAACTTGTTGAAACAAAATTCATCAAAATTGTATCTTTCATTATTAAAATTCTAAATTTCATCTGCTACCACTTCTAAACTAAGTTCATATTAACAATCCCCAACTATGATTGGAAGTGGAACTTTTCTCCCAGATCTCAGAAGGCTGAGGCAGGAAGACCTCAAACTCTAGGCCAGCCTGGCATGTTCTAAATCCAACAAAAAGGAAATTTTGTTTCTTTGTGAAAACAGTTTTTATTCAATTTTAGTATACAGTACTGTTCGAAAGTGTGCATACTAATCGAAGTTTTATTACCATTATTCACAGCCCTTATTTTGGGAATTACACACCGTAAGCTTTTCTTGGTGTCAGTATTTTGAATAATAAATGGAAACGTACAAACAAGAAAAAAAAAATGTACTACTGATCATTAGGATACATAAATATTATACCATTACTATTGTCTTATTGTGACTCCTATCAGTAAATACATTTTTATCCTTGTATTATAATTTCAATAATCATTTGCTAGCCTGCAATCATCTGCAAGGATGAATATGAGAGGAGGAGGAGGAGGAGGAGGAGAGTGGATAAGTCCAACATAAAACTTCATTTCCCAGAAAGAATCTAAGGCCTTGTGCCATTGAGAAATTTTCAGTACTCTTTTGGTTGCCAAGCAGCCAACTCTTTTAGTGCCCATCCGCAACTCATTAGGACTCGTCAAAGGCCTTTTCAATGATTTTCCATGACTTGTTCCTCCTAAGTGAGGGTTACAGGCTGAAAGTGAACCTGTCTTCATTGCACTAAAGTGTGTCATCAGGCTTCTCATCTGCACGCCTTCCGCTGAAGTGGCTGGGAGCAGGGAAAGCTCTCGGCTTTTGAAGGAAGGTGAATGAATCACGGGAAGATCTGGGGGCCGGGGGGCTTCTGACCCAGCACAGGCACAACAAAACCCTGCCCCACAGCCCACACCCGGCAAAGACGCTTTCCCAGCCCAGCCGGGACCCAGCGTCCCCCACTCCACCCGCTTCCTGCGTGGGGTTCCAGGGAGCGCTGCTCAAAGAGGAACCGAAAAGTTTCTCCAAGCTCGAGCTGCGCGTGATCGGCGGGCGCGGGGAGTCGGGTCAGGTCCCACCTCACCCAGGGTCCCCCCAAGATCTCCTTGGAAGCAGAAAAGGCACTCACCGTTGTGCTCGCCGTATCCCCAGCTGAGCCGCGACATGGTCCCGAGGGAGGGCAGGCTGCACGGAATGTGTCCGGGCACACGAGGGAGGAAGCGTCGCGGGCGGGGGCCAGCTCGGGGCGGGGACCGCGGGGCGCCGCGGGCGCGGGGCGAACCTCGAACCCCAGGGCCGGGCGTTCCCAGCCGCGGCCTCCAGGGGGCAGTGGCGAGCGGGGCGGGCGCCCGCGAGTGCTGGAGAGGGGCAGTCGCGAGTCTGGGGCTGCGTCCCGGGCGGCAGTAGCTGGAGTTCTGGTTTGGAGCTCAGGAGTAGGAGACACACAGAGAAGGTTTCCTGAGGGGAGCTCCCGCTTGCTGGGAAGTAGGCGCCCTGGACGGGAAGCTGCCCGGAAGCTGTCCGGGAATGAGGAGCGCGGGCTTCAGCGGGGCGTCCCCGGGGCCGGGCAAGGCCAGCGATGGGGGCCGCAGTGACTGCAGATGCGCACGAAGCAGGGGGGGGCGCGGTAATAACCGCCACTCAGCAACGACAGCTACTGTTTATCTGGGGCTTGCCATGGGCCAGGGCTTAGCTCAGCCTGTCACCCACACTTTCCTTGAAATCGTCTCAGCATTCCCCTTGAGAAACTATTAGTCACGCTTCCTAATGAGGACACAAGGAAATGAGGCTTAGGAGAGTTGCCCTGCCTGGCCACAGAGCATGGAGAGAGGATGTGGGGCCCAAAAAGATCCCAGGCTTAGGCTGGCTCCCTCTCTGGTTTCTCCGCTGTCCTAGCTCCTGGGACCTTTGATTGCAGTGAGCCCCTTCCTGAGCCCCTTCCTGGTGCTTAGTCCCAAAACTTTACTGCCCTTCTTCCTCCACAAGAAGATACATAGCTATAGCTACTTACAGCTATAGATACATGATATAAATATAGACATAGATATAGGTTCGTTAGTATGTGTTTATTTTGTATGCATCTGTTATATGCATTTAAGAATATTGTCTTGAAAAGTTACGTCTATAGCAAATCTACAAACATAAATTCAAGAACTGGAAACATATCTATTTCTGTCATGTGCAAAATAAAAGAAGTAATAGAAGCTCAACATTCCATGATCCCTTTTCTCCCAGAGTTCTTGTTTCAGGTTAACTGGTTAACTATCTCAGGTTTTATAAATCCAAGCAACCTCTGTAAGGAACCTAGTAAACTAATTGTCATTAACTCGGATAATGTAGCACATCAAGGCGAATAGTGCTCTAAGTAGATGCCAGTTGCTGATACACAATAGTAGTTGCTGAATAAATGAATAAATGAATGGATGAACCAATTTTTAAAGCAGTTTTGACTGGTGGACTCTGATTCTTCCCAAACCATTACTTTTATTATAAAAGTACACTGCCTACTTTGGTTTAATGAGTGCAGTCTATCCACTTTTCTAAAATAGCAATTTAAGTAATCAGAATAAACTTCCACTCATAGGAGCTTGGTTAGGTAGCACAATGAGCTGCTATCCAGCTGTAAAAATAAGGATCTTCTCAAGCAGATGCCAAGTGAGCCTAGAACATAGAAGCTGGACAAAAACTAATGCATAGTTTGCATTTGCTTGAGGAAAAAAGAAAAATTGGATGTATGTATTAGCGATGTTTTAAAAAAAATCTGTAGTAAGTAAATCCCAATGAACAAAAATGAGATGGAGGGATGAGAGATGAAAGTAAAACTTCTCAGTGTATCTTTTAAAGCCTTAATCATGAGTGTTTTTTATAAATTAAATCCGAGAGGATTTTTAAGTGCTAAAATTAAGTTCAAAGAGTAATGAAATTCTATGTTGAATTGATAATCTAACTATACAGAAAAAATTAAGTAACATTTGAAATTTGAACTTTGACTATATATCCTTCAAAGAGTATATATTATATTAAGAACTGAATAAATCTTGGATTTTACTAGTTTGATTTTATAGGAATATTAGTTATTATTGTGAAACAGCATTTTGTTTGTGTTGTAAAACAGAATAAATGGGGAAATAATATTGATGATCTTCAGAATCATGATGTTGATTCTTATTTATATAAAACTATCAAATGACAGAAGCTAAGAAAGAACCACGTGTTAAACTGAATATTCTGCTCACTAAAAGATACTGACAGTAACAGCTCAGTAGTAAGGGTGCTCAAACCTTAATTACAACCCCTTAGGTAAGAGCTTTCTTTTAAGGCCCTGTGCCTATTTCATATTTGCAATTTTGTATTGCTCTTTTTAAAAATATTCACCAAAATTGTATTTGCTTCATACACCACAAATCTGTATGTACCCCTCCCTATGAAACACCTAGCACCAAGATCTTAGTTTCTAAACACCATCTCCCATTAGGCAGAACCTGAGCTCCTGGGAAAAGTAACTGCTGTCAGATCTAAGACAGAAAGAAATCAAGATGAGCCTAGAACATGTATTTTTATGTCAGAAATCTAGAAACTAATGGGGTCGTGAAGCACACATTCACATGCACACAAAAGATCTACCTTGAAGGAGGTAACAGCCAAATTTGGGACAATTTGTGCATCAAAAAAGAAAAATGATTATCATAATAGGTTATAACCTGCCACACTCAATATCCATGAGTGCACAGTAATAGTCACCGAGTGACACAAAATGAGAGTGAGGCCGAGGTAGAGGGGGCTTTATGGTAGCCACAAATATTGATAAATTTTTTATTTATTCATTCATTTATTGATTTTTTTGAGACAGGGTCTTGCTGTGTAGTTCAAGTTGGCCTTGAATTCCCCATGTAGCCCAGGCTGGCCTTGAACTCACAGCAATTTCTTGCCATACCCTGTCCACAGTGCATGTGTCACCACATCAGCCTATAGATAAATTTTAAAATAATCATTTCTGAAAAATCATTATAATACTTGGCTCAAGCAAAGATTATATTATTTATGGGTGCTAAAACCACCAGGTGAAACTGGTCATAGTGGTACATGCCTATAGTCCCAGTACCTGAGAGACTGATACAGGAGGATTGCCATGAGTACAAGGCCAATCTGAACTACATAGTGCGACCCTGTCTCAAAAAAACTCTCCAGGTGAAAGCTTACTGATAAACAGGATATTTACATTGACTTGGCTGAGCCTCAGTTGGCTCCTAGGTTTCCAAAAAATGTTAAAATATATTTTTGAGATGATTGAGAATATTTAAATATGAACAGCATATAGTAAAATTACTAATTGATGCTAACTTTTCAGGTATAATAATGGTACAGGAAATGATATTAGAGAGGAAGGCTGAAGCATAGGGTTAAAGTAGCCTGATGTGTAAAACTGACTCTCAAATGTTTCTGTCAAAAGTTGGTGAGTGTATGTAGCTGCAAAATATTTAGGAGCTTGTGAAAATATTCTTACCATTTGTCTGTAGACTTTAATTAAACCCACAGAACACAACACATTTTGTCATGAAGACCCAAAAACATGTGTGTCTCAAACCCATGCTTAATCTGTAGAATATTTCTATCGATGAATTATTAAGTTTAGTTTTATTATAGTACAAAATGAGTGCTTAACAAAAAAATCACAAAGATACATTATTATACTTTTAATATTTATTGACTTTATAAAAAAAGCATCAAAATTTTCAACATTGGCTGGTTTTGGGGTACAAAGTCTAAAACTTAACAACAGATATAAATTCCTATATGAACTACAATGAAAACAACAATAGCACTCTACAAAATCTTTGCTTCGATTATCACACCTAAGGTAGGCTTCACACATGACAACAGCACATTTCATACACACACGTCATTCACACTTACAGCACATGTTTTGTTTTCCTGGCCTTTTTGTAGGACATACTTGACACCTTGCTGGTCTTATTATTTTATTAGGTAGTTCTTATTATATTATGTAATATGTGCTTAATAGGAGCATAAAATATCAATAAAATAAAATGTTAACTTTTTATCATGTATTTTAGTTTTAGAACAAACATCAACATTTTCACATCAGCTGTGTACTTGCTTACAAAGCCTTTAAATGATCACCTTCATCATCCATGCATGATTAATCTGATGGTTCCTGATTGGACAGTTTAGCACATGTGCACCCACCTTGCCTTTCATCATACAAACTGGGTAAACCAAAGGCTGCTTCCTGTATCCCTCAGGGAAAGGTACTGTGATGCACAGCTGGCTACTACTATGCTAAAGTATAAATTTACAGTGGAAAATATAACAGGTGTGTGTGAGTGTGAAACCTAGTGTTATGCTTCTCGAGTTTAAAACAAAGAAGTTTGAGGGACATAGCCCTTGTACTTCACATCAATGAACCCATCAATATGCTAAATAGCCTTTCAGAATGATGTTGTCTGTCCTTAACAAAGTCTCTGTATCCAGCTTCGCAAAGTGTAAAAGAGCAAAGGAAGTTTCTTATCCAATAAAGATGCTTAAATCAGCTCTCTTCTTCCTCTTCAGTGAATCAGACACAATATCAGAACAAGCAGCATTTGCAAGTGGCAAATGTAGCCATAAAAATCTTTAAGTAATATAGTGACATAACTAAGGAAATAACAAAGTATGAGTTAATGTTGTTTTATTGGGTCATGTACCTATACATTTTTATAGGTTTTTTATTTTTTAGAAATTCCAAATCTGACCCTCATTATCTATTGTCTTCTGACTTTTACCAAGCAGGAAACAGAGGTAAGTGAGGTTTTCCAGTTACTTAGAGAACTACACCACACCGACAGGGACATAGCCCCATTCTGTAAAGTCCCAAGTCCAAAGTGCTCTCCAACTTCCCCACTCAAGTCCTGTGATTTATGAAATTGGAAATTATTAACCACAGAAATATCTTATTGTTTGTTATCTTGTGGGGAGTATTGATTTTTTGATGCTGTTACTATATAGAACGTCACTTTCTTTAATTTTGCATTCCTAAAGTTATCTGGAGATAAAAGAAATAAAAGATAGGCAGAAAGAAGATAAGAAATAACTTAAATTGTACTTTTAAGATCATCGAAATGCCCAACATGGTGGCACAGGCCTGTAATCCCAGCACACAGGAGGCTGAAGCAGGAGATCACTATGAGTTTGAGGCCAGCCTTGGCTCCATAGTGAATTCAAGGCCAGCCTAAACTAAAAGTGAGACTCTGCCTTCAAAAACACAAATCACAACTTTTGAGCCACAAGTTATCAAAGATGATCCATACCAGCCTTCTCTTTGCTAAATTTAGGACCCTTAAAATTCATCAATACTGGAAGTCTATAGATTGGCTTCACTGAGAAAATCAAAAGCAGACACCTGATCCTAACATGAAAGACATTACCCATTCAAAAAATGCTAGACCTATACCTGTACAATGAGCTACTACTCTTCTGGAGCCTGGGCCATATTTTTCTAGGATTTCCACTCCATCAAGAAAAGCATAAATGTTTTGTGATCCAGGAAGTAAGCACCTCTTTCTTTGAGTGTGGCCCTCTTAATTCCTACCTAATAA